CTGATTATATATCGGCTTTTACTTAACTGCTAAATCCAAATTACAATTTAACTACAAAATCTGAATCATCATTTAGCTCGGTTTCAGGCCTATCAAAATTGTAATACGTAACGTAATAAGGGAGCTTAGAATAGTAATTAGTGTTTTAGGGGACAAAAATATTTAAAGTTTTTACAATTTTATTTGTTTACTTTAAACTAATGAGTGTATAGTCTTCATATCACGTAGCATTGTTAAATATGTACTTCCTTGTAAAAACAACATACAACCGAATTAAATTCAATGTTAAATTTTCAGTCTCCTTTTAGGGCTTATATATTTTTGTCTCAGTTGCGAAAGTGTTATTTTAAAGCATCATGTATGTTGTTTGATAAAATTACATCCTTTTTCTTTTCTACCGTGGATTCAGCAGTAAGTATTTTTGGTTTTAGATTGTATTGTTTAAATATAAACACGTTAATATTTTAAAGTTATCCCTAAAAATATTTCGTTAAAGACATTTTGAATTCGCTTTCATCAATAAATAATCGCTTTACGTATATCACCATACTCAGTTTTATGTACATCTCTGTTGTGTGATAATTAACATTTACGTGCTTCTTTCTCGTGGTCGTTGCAATACATGCCTAACTGGAACGACAAATCTGTTCTAACCCGATCTATTCAAAGTGTAATAATCGTTTTTATAAATTTCTCTCTAGGTTCTGTGGCGTAAAAACTGCAATATTTTCTTATTTTATCGATTTCATCAAAACGAGCGAATAAAGAAGTCGAACAATTGTTGCGAAAGTTATGTCGTCGAAGCGACATCTATAGCTTTTTTTTGGCGTTATCAGTTAAATCAGTCTATTGATGAACTTCCTTTGAAGCGACGAAAACTGAGGTCCTTTCACGAAGGGAAGATTGATAACGTAGATGCCGTTGTTTCTTAAGTGTAAATTCCAGGGTGCATAGTAGGCCACATCCACTTTTGGCAGGTTTCGTTGTTCTAAGAGATCTATACAGATCTTCTTTACCGAAGTTTGCTCACAGGGTCTCGGGGAGTAAAGGGATTAAGATACAAAACTACAAAAAACTGTGTAAATGGAAAAAGAATATCAAATAAAAGACAGGGAAATATTTTTGATAGATTACCCTCTGTTTCTGATTAATCAAAGTAAAATGTATTGCCATCAACGACGAACAAAGAGCTTCCTCGCTATTCAGAGCTTTGTGTGATGAGGATATTGTAAACAAGTAAAATGGGGTTGTTTTTCTGTAATGTATTGTTCATTCAGTGTGTACTGACATAGAGGGCGCTCAAAAATGTGTGAAATTTTTGGAGTTGCGCAACGGAGTTAAGTTTTCTAATAGTCATGTTGAAAGATCATATTGATTTCCAAACATACGTTTTTTTTTCTTCATTAAATTCTTGTTTGTTTTATTTTTCATTTTGGCTGATAATGCATGTTCGCTACGAAGTTCTTAAACGTGGTTGGAATGCATTACCGATAGATGGCGACATGTTTAAATTTATTGATTTAATCGTGCAAGAATTGATATACGAATTTCAATTCCTTAAATTTAAGCAAGTGAGTTGTTTTCAGTATTCTCTGGAAACCGGGTTTCGATAACCATGATGGGCAAATCACAGATAGCCCATTGTGTTGCTAGGTGCTTAACTTCAAACAAACAAAATATTCAGTATTCGAATGACTATCGTAAAGACCTCGAATCTTTGTAGAAAATAACTGACAAATATTAAATTCACAAATGAACAATGTTTTATAGTACACAATAAAAATATTTATATTTTATACGTTTTCTCCATTAGATTTATTTCATCTTTAGTTTTATTTAATATATGACTAATAAATCTAATGGAGAAAACAGGTTTTTATAAAGTTTAATGTGAATGAGGTCGTGCATATATTGGTCAAACTAGAAGAAAATTTAGAACAATTGAACATAAGAGAAATGTTAAAACAAAAGTGAAAACTCTACGTTAGCCCAATATGTAAATTACACTGGACATATCATCCAGTCGGGAAAAACTGTTATTTTGGTTCAGCCGAATAATATGACTGCTAGAAATATTAGAGAAACCGTTCAAATAATGAAACACAGCAAAATCAATTTGATCTTAAATAGGGATGAAGGATTAGAAAATCAGAAAGTATGTAGATGGCGCGATCGTTTTTGAATTATAAACTAGTGTCACATGACCATGGTTTTTATACTTATATAGCACATAGTAACTGTTTTTCATAGTCCAGAAGATGACGAGAAACCACGTTGAAATCTGTAGAGTGACTTTTACAACTGTTAATCGTTTTAAATAAAGATTTTAATTTTGTATTATAAAACGTTGTTCGTTTGTGAATTTAGTATTTTAGCCTTTTGATATTAAGAACTTTGTGCTTGAAAGTTACTACTCCTAAATCTGAAAATTACTATTAGCCTCACTGTCATATAAAGAGATGCCAAAATCACACATACATAAAAATGTAACGCTTATCAAAAATAAAAAAAAAGTCCATTGAGACATAAACTTATGGAACATGCAAATAAATAATTTCATCTTCAGCACCATCTTCATTATCCGTAAAAACTCTTTAATTCTTAGAAATGAAGTTTACACAAAAGCTAACATTGAACTGTTTGAGTATCTACCATTGTACGATTGTTGAGCAAAAGGAAAGCTAAGTTTATAGGAGCATTACTAAAAGTGCCAGAAAATTGTATTAATTTTCTAGCGTGAATAGGCAAGAATGCTAGAGATGTAAACATTCAGGATAAAACTTGTCTTTCCATATCCAAATCCAAAAACCACGTAATGAAACGAGGAGATTTCTGATTATTTAAACAATTAAGGATGCATGTTGTGAGACAGATGTGACTTGAATCAATGTAAATTTGTGTCTCTCTCAACTATTGGTTCGGCTGCTGAGAGTTGTGTAAACTAGTTATGAATATGACTACCGGACATATGTAGTCTGTATAGATTTTGGCTCGTTAACTCCTTCCGTTTATCATTTGTTATTTGTTGACAAGAGCCCATTAGCTCCTCCTGTATTGTGCTGGTATGTATTGATCCCAGGCCAGCTCTCTAGAGAAGCAGCATTCAAATACGTCAAAATACTTCACTTATTATGTTTAAGAGCCAGAATAAATTTTCTCAGAACTAGAATTCGTGAACAAACACAGATCTTTGTAAGAGTGTTACGTTTGTTAGTTTTTGGTAAAGAGCATTAATAAACCGTATTTTTCAAATAGAGAGGGGAGAGGTCCACCTTTGCGCAACACAAATATCAGTTGTATTTAGTCCTTTAGAGAAATATCTTGTCGATCATCTCCTCTCCAAAGGCTCTTATATGATTAAAAAACATGGATCTAAACATAAGATCTTTGTGTTAGTTTTTGTCTAGTTTTAGCTTTAACCTTGTAACGTGTAAATGGATTTTGCTTATTCCATAAGCTAATTTTTCAATTCTATGGATAATAGTATCTTGTCCACCTTCCAGGGTAAATTTCATCCCTGAAGAAGGATGATGGTTTGTCTTCTGAAAAAAAAAAATCAGGTTCATGCTTTTTGACTTATCCAAAATGTAATCCCTACTCATTTCCAAGTATCTGTACCATTTTGTGTGTCTTTTCTTAGTAGAAATTGAATTTAGAATTTTACATAACCATTGATGCCCATGATGGGAATAGCACAGATAGTTCATTGTGTAGCTTTGTGCTTAATAGGAACCAAACCAACCAAATCACTAATAAACAGATAGACTTTCATGAAATGACATTATATTAGTAAATCTGATTACAGCATAACATAATAATGATAAGCACAACATAAAATATAATTTTGCAGGTATAATTACACAGGCTTGCAAATTTAAACTTAATAAAAGTTGTTTTGGTTTTCATGATGGATTTTCCATAATTCAGCTATGCAGATTTGAAAATAATATATTAATTTTCTTCTATCACGTAAGGACTTTTTACAAATCAGGAAGG